GGGGACAGAAGAGCGATTCATAGGTGTAAAAGAGACAGACACAAAGGCAGATAGAAGGTGAAATGAGAACTGTGGAAGTGGTGGAATATGGCACACAGTCGAGTCATGATAGTTTGAAGTCAACTGTCGGTTTATAGACTTTTTTGTCGTATGATTATACATTTCCCAGGGTGCACCACGTGGGGGTAAGTCTATTTTGCACATCTTGATCAGAAAACGATTGTATTATATAAATCGCTGGAAGGGGGGATATTTTTGAAACAACGACTGAAATCAGGCAGTAGTAGGGTCAGATTTGGGTTAATGGTGATGGTGTCATAGGAAACATTGAGAATCGTATCGGATTGCTACTTTATTAAAGCCTGATTGACTCAGAAATCTCTATGGCAGAATCTCCTACATCTAGATGGACTCCCAGAACCAGCTAACCCATAGCCCAGCTATAAAGGAAACAGACGTGTAGCAAGGAGTACGTTTATTCAGTGCGGGTATTGCGGATAAAGTATGTACACGCAGGGAGCTACTCATGATCAGGATGGGGGATTAGGTTAAACAGAGGTTGATGATTGGTCACTGTTTGTACGGTCGCTGCACACAGAGTTGTACGGCCGCACCTCCCAATCCTGGCGAGCAGACATGCAGGCATACGATGACGCACAGAGCGACAACGTGTCCCACAGAAGCAAATCTAAGCAGCAAACAAGTTTCGAGCTGCATAATGGCTGTTAAGTGGTTAGTCCATTTCTTCCAATTCTTAGAAGTCGAAATTCATGAATGGTTTCTCAATTTACGAGACGACCACTTGACCTTAGCACTCATATTTTTAATCGCGAAATTGATTTAATCGATTGCTCAATCTTTGCAGTTCAGTACATTTCGAATATCCCGGTAAAATATTTAACCTTGAGGTCATATGACAAAATTATTAATTAGTCAATTTATTAATTACGTTTTGACTGAATCCGAATTTCGCCAAAATCCTCCATATTTTTGACGGTATTTTAGTTTCCACTCAAACTCTCTTTCATAACTCACTCGATCCTACTCTCTGTAATCAGATACTTTCCTAAAATGAAGTACTGATGGCCTTGTCTTGTCGCAGACTTCCATGAAATATAGGAAAAGTCATCTTACTATGTATTCAAGAAATTTCAATATCAATAATGATCATAATGAAACATCTTAACAGCACTTTAAATTAATTTGATATTAAACTAATTAGGACTACCATTGTAAAACTACTAGTGTTCATTGACCAATTACTATGACAACATTCGTGCAAGCATTGTGAGATTAAGGGAAAAGAATTATTAATAAAATAAAATTGCTTTATGTTAATTTTTCTGTTGCCCTGGTTGACTCTATAATTAAATAAAGCGGTGAAGAGACGTCATTCTCAGTAAGGAGGAAAGAAGAGCGTGAATCTCAAAATTCTGTGTTCGGGCAAGCATTTTTGTCCACTATACTTATATTCACAACTGCACGTATAAACGGGTTTTTAATCTTATTAAGGGGGAGGGGTGTGGGCAGTAGACATACCCCCACGTGGTGCACCATGGGAAACGTATACTCATACGGCAACAGGGTCTATTAACCGGCAGTTGATGTCTGACTTCAAACTACCATCACCCCACTGAATGTCATACTCAACCACTTCCATAGTACTCATCTCGCCCTTTCTCCGCCTTTGTGTCTGTCTATCACTTTTATATCTGTGAATCACTCTTCTGTTCCCCACTCCTCAACTTTCTGTTATTTTGATGTGCCTTCCCTCTATGAAGTCCGACGTCGGTTAAAGGGCTAATGATAACTTTCAAAACGCCTGCCATTTGGTATAAATAAATTAGCAAATCTTATTATAGAAGCCATATTGCCAATAATTATTGAAAGGTATCCACTTGCGTGATAGGAGACCAGCACTATGATAGACATCATTTACATCGCCTCGCTTGCTTGCTTGCTTGCTTGCCTCAAACCTGTCAGTTATGGTGTGACATTCTTGGATTAATTGGAATTCCATTTCCGCTGCTAGGATTTATGCTCCTTGGATACCAAATAGATAGAGATAAAACCACAAGACAAGTACTCAAAGACACTGTGTTAAATAAACATCGAAGTGCGCACTGCCTTCAAGCTATTTTTGAAATTTTGAGGTTAAATCACTTCTGTCATGTATACTGTCATATTGTCAGCAACAATTTACGTCCGTATTTTAATAAAGAGAGGATTAATAATTTGGGAACTAATTTCCGCGCGAGACAATGGAACCACGGAAGTTTCGAGAAGAATTTTGTCAGTTTCGAGTAGCATAAGAGAGTTAGCCGCAAAATATTCTTTCATTTCAACCTAATTATCAAGTGAATCGTGCAAGTTCACATTGCGCATTAAAAATGATGTATAGTTTATTTTTCCGTCGCGTGCAAACATTTTGGTTTATTTTTTACTATTTCGATATTAAGTAAATAGCAGAAAATTAACCCATTTGTTAAATTTTTGAATAATAAATATACGAGAAATTGTGTACTCAATCATCAACCAAATTCGAAATGAAT